TCCACAAGAATTTGTTTCAGTTGAAGTGTGAGAGAGCAAACACGAAATATTCGTTTATAAAATAAGTTTTTCACTAAAAATAGTGGCCTTCATACTGATTATCGGAATAGCAATTAGTTAATTATGATTGGGATTTGGGTAAGATTCGAAAGCAATAGACAAAGCGAATATTTAATTAATCATTTATTAATTTCAATTGGAAGGCGTTTTGATAGTTATCATTAGTCTTTTAGTTGTCTTCGGACTTCACAGAGAGTGGGAACATAAGAGTGATTCATGGATGTAAAAGAGTTAGTCAGGCACAAATGCACAAATAAGATAAGGTGTCTACCATGGAATTGGTTAAAGAATGCATACAGTGGTAGTTTAAAGTCTGATCAGTTCACACTTGTTAAGCACTTGTTATCGCGTAGTTGCAGAAGACGAAAAGGTCATTGTTCAGAACAAGACCTATTACTTTCCAAATGACGCCAGAGTATAGAGTTTAGTTTTCAACCTATTCATCTTCCTCTAAATTACATCCTCTTATGCGCATTTACCTAGAGAAAGTACCCATTGTTGATCTTAGCGATCTGATATATGACACAACATACCACCTAGATCTATTGATCATTTTGGATATAAATGAATATGGCTCCGTAGCTTGAGATGTTTCACTTCTGCGTTCACTGAATGTTCGCCATACATTGCATAGAATTCACTTCTTGATTCAGTAACCCATGCAAGTCACCGTTTGACCATCTATCTAAGTGAAGACACCATCAATGCAATTCAACGTCTCTATCATCAGGACTCTTCCTGAACTGAGGAATTCATTGAGCCAGTTCTCCTGACCCCTATTGCCCACAGGTCAATTTTCACATGGAGAAACTAAATAAATTATAGTCTAAATTCCCAACTGTTTGCCAAGTATTACATTCATTTAAACTTTTAATAATGGCTCTCGCGAAGCCAAGACAAAAATGCAATAACGCTTCGTACCAAGAGGCAGGGAGCTGAACAAAAGTAGTCACTGCCTTTCAATGCAAAATCCACACCAAAATCAATGTTCACAATACCGCCCAATGCTTACATAAATCACATTCTGTGAAGCCGCCATCAGCGCTCTTCAGATGAAAGTAGATTTAGAAATGAATTCACAAAATAGGCAACATTTGAAGATTCTTCTATCGACAAGCAGAAAACTGCATAAGAGCTAAGGCAGCGAACACGAATTAACTCACCACCGGCAACAGTATTTTTACTACGTTATGGTGCGTGGGTGATCAAAACGAAATCAGGCACTGTGCCAGTCGCTCAACATCCAGATCCACTATTTTAGAGGGCTCATCAAATCCCCAGCCATTATGCTTACATCGAATCAACTTTGATATGGCGTGCGTCCACACCACCAGTGAGAAATCCACATTGAAGCGCCAAGAGGAAACTCAAATTAATTTATATTCACCATAATCTTTATTAACAAATACATGCTCCGTCAATATTGGTTAGTTTAATAACCTTGGAAAATTTCAAAAGAAACCGTTTCAATATCTCTAATTTTCATCGTCTTATTTTTTTTCAGCATTAAAGAGATTTCAAGAGCAGCTGAAACGGGGATGGTGGAGAGTTGGAGGAAGGGGGGTTGGTAGGTGATTGGGAGGGAAGAATAGGCCTAGAGAGGGGAAATAATAGCACTGTAAACTCGTCTTAATTTGAACATCTGTTGATCCACTCCTCCAAATGCATCTCGGCCACCTTCGACAAACACAATTGAGCTATTCCGATCACTGCATTCTATTGCAAAGCCACGAACCAAGGGGCCAAACCACTCCAAACGGGATTTAAGATACTCCTCCTGGACCAAACGCCTCAAATCTGAGACAAATATCTTCTAATATTGATGATTTTAACGCAATTCGGTCAGGCGAAAGTATTTCCTAATAAAGTTGCCTTAGCGCATGGAAATAACGCGTACACGTGTTATTGTGGCGTTTTGCTCCACGTGTACGCTTAGGCAAAGGGGCATGAATTGTGGCAGTCATTGCATTCGTGCCATCATTGTCAACCATGTAGTAGAAGTAGATGTTGCTAAATGGTTTGAGTGATTGGGTGCTCGAGACTTTGAATGAATGAATGAAGGAATGAATGAATGAAGGAATGAATGAGTGGAAAAGTGAGGAAGAAAAGTAGTGAGGGGAAACTAATCCTTTGTCTGCAATGGGCGAAAAGAATGCGTACACACGCTGCAACTCCGAAGGTTAGGAGTTAGCAGCATATGTACGCATGAGGATATGTGATAGGAATGATTGCATCAATTAATGTAGCTCCAAGGCTGCAAATGTTTACATCCTCTATACTGTGGATGTATGCTAGCTAGCCACAGGAGCCATTGCATAGAGAGCCATAGAGTTAGGGCTTTTTTAGTGCAACTGTTGGCTTCTCTGCTATTGTAACTACTTGGAGTGGCAGTCTCAATGCTAAAGCTTGAGTTTATTCATAGAGGATGTGTCAGAAAGTGAACTTGAAGAACATGAGCAAACAGACAATTTGAATGCAGAAAAGGAAGACTATAATTTGCCTTCTAATGAAGTGGCCTCCACATTCTTTCTAAGAGGCAAGACATCACTTTATCTGAGACGCATTAAGTCTGCCAATAGAGACAATTTCAAGCCCAATTTAAATAGAGACGAAACATTTAGAGATATTGCGAGAGAAAATTACCACCACTCAAGTCGTTCGAGTTCGCATAATTCTAGATACCATAGTTACCCCACATTGTGGTATCTGGAAGAATATGTGAGAGAGAAAGATTGAGTTGGGTAATGCTAACTCGAACGATTCAGTGGTGGTAGTTTTCTCTCGGTACATCTGTAAATGCACCGTCTTAATGAAAATAGGACTTGTGAGTTTGATCACGTTCTTCTAGTACTTTTTCTGGCACATCCTTATTGATTTGCGTCATGACTTTAGCATAGAAACTACTACTCAAAGTATTTACAATAGCAGTTTTGCTGCAAGTACTCTAGTACGGCTTTCAGCTCATCCGCATACGGGTGAACCGCGTAGAGTTGGAGAGCTGCATAGTACGGTGGCAGACCAATTAGTGGCCAACACCACCTACTATATAGTAGGGCAGGTGTTTGTTCCGTTCAGAACTACAATTGCTTACCAAAGAAAAGAGGTCAAATTCGTTATCCTAACGATATCGAATTACGCATTTAGTTAGGATATCTTAAAAGTAACTCAATTCTGTGAACATTTCGTNCGGAACCTCTAATATTTTATTTGAACAAACTAACAGTAAGTAGAAATTTAATGCAATTAATATTTTACTTATTTTCAGTTGCTGACTTTGTTTATCAAGGAGAATCGGGTAGATTTAAATATTAGCAGAACAAATGAGATTTGTTATGCTTCTATTGTGTTGCCAGATTTGTACTAAAATGTCAATTAAAAACTGTGGAATCAGGTTTGGTTTGCGAAAGTGTAATGATGCAATTACTTAAATCAGTAATATTTTCATTATTTTTTAAGTTAAGAGAATTAGTAACTTTGAAGTTTTGGTTATTTGTAGGAAGTGTTATACCAAAAGCGTCATATCCTTTTGTTAGGTATAAATTAAGTTTTCCAGTAATGGAAGGACCGCCGATTAACGTTATTTAAGAACCTTAACTAAATAAACTGCACTTTATTTGAATTCGAAAGATCTTGCAAAATCCATTTGATTTAAATATGGAAAAGCAAGCAATTATTACTCGTACAAAGGAGTTGTATTATCAATCTAATATCTTTTAATCTTCCAGAGAATGAAGAGAAAACTGAGCCAAGCATGGATAAGTCAAAATTAGAATTGACAGATTTCAACAAAAGTTTTATTTCAGGTAGATTTACTACTTGTCCTTAGTTATTTAAAATGATTTACTTCACATTTGTTAACTTCTGCTCTTATTCGCCATGATAAATTAAATATACTTAATTTCAGTAATTTAGGTTAATTTTACAGTTTTCATAAGATGCTACCTTATCCGCCTTTATATGCCATTTTGTATATAATTTGCACTATTGCATATGAATCCTCAAGTAAGTCATTTTATTTTTATCACTTTTTACAATTTGGATTGCCTTCTGTTAAGAATAATTCAGTTAAGTTTAATGGCATCTCAATAAGTTGCTTTTTAATCTCCCAAAGGATTTTGCAACGAATAAGGCAAAGTTGAAAATGATTTTGCATACTTGCATCTTCGAAAACAAATTGAAAAAACAGTAATTTAAGCACATGCATTTTGAATAAATATGAATGGTGTTAAATGACAAAACAAAATTGGAGTCATGCCAATAGTATTTAGACCTAATTGATGGAAAATTGTTTTAAATGGTAGATCTAGGCTTTCTGAGTTTTCATTTTGCTCGTGATTATTGATGCTGGTATCATTGGGAATGATAATTAAAAAAATGATTTGATTTAGACCTTATGGGATTCTGTATTGGATAATCCAATAGAGCAAGTACACTAATGGCAAGTTTCCTCGCAATTAAGACATGGAAATTGAGAAGAGTCGCCTCTATTTGCACCGACTTAGAAGTTATCGACTTTAAATTGAGTTACTATTTTTAACAAGATAATTAACCTTCAATCACTAAAATTTAAATGGTAGGTTAGAATGCTGTGTTATTGCAAGTTGAAACCACTTTGTTGTAATGAGTTTCCAGTTCAAGTTAATTAATTTCCTTTCTCTCCTGACAAATAGACATACTAAGTGACAATGAAAGTAGTGACTTTTGCTCTTGTTTAATCTTATTTTACAATTTTATGTAGCTACGCGTAAATTGAAACGATTATTATGTGCAATAGAATGTTCTATTTACAAAAGATATTGGATGTAGTAAAAATCTTAGATAACTAATTTTTTTATTGATCGGCAAGATTATTATTAAGTTCCAAAAGCAATTCATTAGCTGTCTTCTTGCTTCTCGGTATCTTTGGCTTTCCGTCCTTGTCTTTAGAGCTGGACATCGAATCAGGTGGGTCTTCTCCATTTCCTCCTGTAGGTTACATGGAGGGCATGTGGGTTGTTGGGAAGGTGTTTTGCCAAGCAATCGTGTCCGGTACATAGTCTAAACTCAGCAACGGCTTCGATTCTTGGCCAGTCGGGTATGTCGGTGATTGGCACTGTCCACTGTTTCTCCTTTGTTCGAGCTTTAATTTCGTTGCTCCTTGAGGTATGGAATTCTCTCTTGATTAAGACCTTCATTGTGTGAAAAGACATGGGCCGGTCCATGCATTGCAAAATCGTTGTCCCCTTCTTAGCAAGTGTGTCAGCAAGCTCATTGCCTTTAATGCCACAATGACCAGGAATCCTTTGTAGGACCACTGTTTTGTTTTTCTCTCTCAGCAGCTCATAGAATTTTCTACACTCCTTTGTCTCAGCTGTTTTGGGTGTCTCTCTGTTTCCAATAGAGTCTATTGCTGACTGTAAGTCCGAATGTATCACCGCTTTGGTGAATTTCGTATCCAGGCCACATAATTGGCATAGGGCTATCCTAATAGCTTCAATTTCTCCTTCAAAAGCGGATCTATTATCTCCCACTGCTGCATAGAAAGAGAAGAGTTCAGAATAGACACCTGCACCAACGTTTGCTTGGCTTTCTATGTGTGACCCATCAGTGAAGACTTGGAGCCATTGATCTGCAGGATAGTCGAAATTGATTGTCTCAAGGGCCAGTGGGCGCATTTGCTCTGGAGGGGTGTTTGATTTCCTGAAGAAATCGAGCAGTTGGGTGCAACACACTACATCAATGTCTGCTAAAGGGTTCATGGGGAGAGAGAGGCTTTTTGGTTTGTCATCGATTTGTAATGCTTTCTTCAGTTCTATGGCTTTCTGTATTAGACCAGATTGCGTTTTCAGATGTCTTGGTCTATTCTCATAGGTGCTGAAGAACTTGTCCATGGGAATGCGCAGTAGCTTCTCATACAGGATCAAGGCCATTTCTTTGATAAGGGAAAATATTGTGGTGCTTTTTGTAACTATGAGCATAGCATCAATGGGTGTTGATTTTATCCCTCCAGTAATTAGTCGTAATGCTTGGTTGTGTACCTTCTCGAGGGGTTTGAGAGTCACCTGTGTGGCTGTAATGAGTGGCTCACAGCAATACAACATCATTGGCTGAATAAATATCTTGTAAGTGGTGTTGAGTTGTGAGCGTGCACAGCCCCATACGCTACCAGCAAGACGCTTCAGTACATTTAGTCTATTGGAGACTCGATCTGCTATTTTAGCAATGTGACTTTTCCACGTTAGCTTTGTGTCAAACGTCATTCCAAGATATGTGAACTCATTGGTTTTTTCTATGGTAGTACCCTTGCACTTTANCTGTTTTATCGCAGCATAAAGTTCGCAAAATCTGAATGGTTCGGTAAGTAAATTATTTGGTGTTGTCGCGTCTTCCTTAATTTCACCAAACTGTCTTACTTGTATCTTTAAATCTCTTGAAGATCTTCTGACAAAAGGGTTTTTCTTTTGCTTGTGGGAATAAAACCTTGCAAAGCAGTTAGCTATTTCGGTGTCGGTGGTAAGCAATTTGCTGTTTAAGCGTATTGGTACTTTCTTGAGTCTTTCTCTGCTGTTTTGGAGGTTTCTCAGAATTTGAAAGTGCGTTGGCTATCACTTTGATAGTTGATATTTGAGATGAACTTGTCGAAGGAAGTGCGTTTAGCTTGTAAGATGACTTGCCTTAGGACAGCTGATTGTCGTCTCCAGGCTTTTACGTCTTCCGTTCTTCCAGTCTGATCAGCAGTGTTGCGAAGGGCGTACCTCTTTCTTTTCAGTTCCTCAAGGTGTTTAGACCAAAACACTCGAAAGTGTTTAGTTTTGCCTCGGGGAATAGTTTTCTTTGCACATCTGATCATAATATTCGTGATAGCAGTGCAAAGTTTGTCAGGATGTTGGTTGAAGTTGAGGGGACTTGTGTGAAGTTCATTCTCCAATAGGTTTGTGAATCTAGGCCAGTCAGCCTTCTTGAAGTTCCATGATAGCTTAGTTGGCACTTTCCTTGACATGCTTTGCTGCCGATGGTAATACTAGCAATGACTGGTTTGTGACCAGAACCAGGATCGTCAATTATTTTGCGGTGTGTATACTCACTGATGTCGCTTGAAGCCGAGAGTAAATCAGGGGTTTTTCTGGTTCCATTGTAGTGAAAATATGTAGCCGGATCCTCATTGCTGTAAATAAGTTCCAGAGGGTTGCTGTTTAGCATGTCTTCGATTTCCTTTCCAGCTATGTTTGTATCCTTGTAGCCCCATCCGGTGGAGTGGGCGTTGAAGTCTCCTAGTACTATGGTTTTGTGTGAGATGTTCAGAATGTCAAAGTTGGGAAAATTCTGGGGTGGATTATAGACTCCATATATCTTGAAGTGGTTTTGACATTTCCAAACATTTAATCTGATTATTTCACATTTGTCCTGTGTCGAGCCCATACTCTTGATTAGATCGTAGTGTGAGGTGAGGCCTTCTTTAACTCCAGTTAGAATTCCACTTGCAATTTGCCGGTATTTAGGTAGATTGTACAGGGTGTAACCTGGGAATTGGTAGTACTTCAGTTTGTCATCCGAAATGTTAGCTTCCATAATTGTGAAAATGTCTACATCATAGGTTTGTAGGATTTTCTGTACTTGGATCTTTTTGTCCGGAGACATTCCTTCAGCATTCCACTGGAGGACCTGAAGACGTTGTGGTTTGCCCTGAAGAGGGCGATTTTTCTTATAGCCTCTTTTAAAGCTAATCATAATAAATCGAAGTCAAAAACGAATGCCGAGTGATAGACTTTTTTGCCGTAAGAAAATACGTTGCCCAGAGTGTACCACGTGGAGGTAAGTCAATCGCGCACCCCAATCCTCTAAACATAAAATCCATGATTCGATAATAAAATAGGTTCTTAAAAAATATCAATTTGAACTTTATAAATTGTATATTTTGTTTTGTCTATGTTGGACGTGGAAAAGCTGTATTAACCTGCTTTACAAAATTAATATTCATTGTCTCATCCTCATAGCAACATTGCCTGAGCAACAGGAACAAAATCAACTCTCCACGTTTACCCCTCATATTGCATGTCAAAATACTCAAGTAGATATTGTTTGGGTTTGATTTCTCTCAAAGAAGACTATATGCCAACTACACACGTATTAGTGATTGCTCCAAAGTAATACTTCTGACACGATTGACTGCTTATACTTCAAAATCAAATAGGTCAAGTGAATAAAATGCTTTTAGGCTCAATCTCGTAAGTCTTCTGTATTCACTTGAACTGCTTCACCGAAATGGCTCCCATGAAGACAGATATTTTGCCGTTCATTTAGTCATCGATTGAGCTTGATTAAAGTCTCTTTGTCTCTGTTTATGCTCATATTTCAGTATCGTCATTTGTTGCACAAAAATGCATTTTCATTGGGTAGTTACTTATCATCACAAATGTGCTATAAATTGGCTCACTCTAAAAACACTCTAATCCCAATCGTGGCTTGCATACGTTAAGCAAAGTAAACTGAAAGCTACATTTCTAGTGCATTTGGATTTGAATATGTAGAAAAAATCAAAATTGATGAGATATTAACAGGTGAGACATGATATTGAACTCAAATCAATTTTATTATTTATTTTCATATTAAGCACTTCATTATCATTTAAATTTGTTTAAAACTGAATTCCTTTTAAAATTAGCTAATGATGCACGAAATGTGTAATTAATTTCCACCTTTAATATATTTATTGCAAAATCCATTGAGAGATTCAAACAACAACTAAATGAAGCTAACACAATCTTTCGGGATTAGTAGAAAGTGATAGTCACAAACAGTTGCTATTCTGTTCTTAAAATAAAATAAATTGCTTGAGAATATGTATGTCATTGTACACCTACTGTGAAATGTAAAATAATATAGAGGTTAACATTTAATTAAATAATGTCTTTAAAATCTACATAATTTACTAAACTTAATTATATAAACCTAATCTTTCCAAAATGGAAGCCTATAGACATGAGTAAAAATTCGA